GGGGACCCCCCGTGCCCCCCGTCGGAGTCACCCCAGCTCCCCGCGGGGGACAACTGGCGGGAGGAGGTGGCCAGGAGCAAGGGCAAGTTTGTGCCTGAGGAAGAGGAGCAGCATCTGCGGGGAGCAGGTAAGGGGATGAAGGAGAGAGACCTCCTCCCCACCCCCAGATAAAAAGGGGGTGAAGAAGCTGCTGTAGGAGCTGGGGGGGCTTGGAGGGGGTGGGGTGTCTCCTGCGATGGGCTTGGCCCCATCTGGTCCTCCCCACGGACGGTCCCGTGGCGTCACTGCTCATCTTTGGGGCAGTTTTGTGGTTCTTGGTGGAGACGAGTGGGAGCGAAGAGGGGGGGGAAAGGGTCCAAAACGAGGTCGCGGCGCCGCGAAAACTCGGGGTGTTGAGGAAGAGGAGAAAAGAGGCGACCTGGAGAAGGATCCGGATGGAAGCTCCTGCGGTGGTGCCACCACGCGTGGCCTTGAGGCTCGTTGCGGTGTGAGGAGAAAGGTCTCCATGGGCTCCAACACGAGAAGAAGGGCCGGGAGACGTGTTGGAGATGGCCACACCAGCGGGGGAAGCTGGAAGACGGTCGTCTCTTGAGGTGCAGAGAAGTTGGAGAAGGTTGGAGGTCTTGGGGTGAAGATCATGAGCGTCCGTTGAGAGGTCTTGTCTTCCCCATTTGTCCTCTGGAAACTGTGAGCTCCCAAATTCTCGTTCCATTCCTCCAGTGTCGGCGTCTCCACAGCGATGGTGGCAACGGTGCTTGAAGGAGTTTTGGTGTTTCAGGGGTGATGGGTGGAGCACAGCGGGCTCCTCTGCTGAGGTGGCCTCATCCTTATCGCCATCCCAGCGCGGCCTGCTGGCCATCCATGGTTGGGTTCGGGGTTTTGCTCAACGGTGGGAGCTGGAGCTCCTCTGTTGCTGGAGGAGACCAAAGGTGGTGGGGTCAGAGGCGAAGGGTGGTGTCCTCCGTTGAGAACCAACTCGTGAACCATCTTCTCCTTCCCCCCTCAGCAGGTCCCACCATGGCGAGCACAGACCCAGAGGAGTCCATTTTGCAACGGCAAGACCCCCCACACCCACCCAGCGCCCTTCAGGGTGTCCCGGCAGCCAGGACCCCCGCCCGGAGGGGGACCCACCGGCGACAGATCCCACGGGATCCCACCACCTTCCCACAGGCCCTTGCCCAAGGTCCGCCCGGACCGGTGGAGGACACCAGGAGCCCGGAGAAGCCCTGGGTGAAGCGGGAGCCATCGGCACAGGGGAAGGACCGTCCGTACCCCTGCGGCGAGTGCGGCAAGAGCTTCGGCCGGTTGACCCACCTGAAGACCCACCAGCGAACCCACACCGGGGTGAAGCCCTACGCCTGTGGGGCTTGCGGCAAGAGCTTCGGCCACCTCTCCACCCTCACCACCCACCAACCCCCCCACCCAGGCGACGCCCCTACCCCTGCGCCGCCTGCGGCAAGCGCTTCAGCCAGCAGTCCAACCTCACCATGCACCAGCGGTCGCACACCGAGGAGCGGCCCTACCCCTGCGGCACCTGCGGCAAGAGCTTCAAGTACTTGGCGGACCTGACGGTGCACGAGCGGTCACACACGGGCGAGAGACCCTTCCCCTGTCCCCACTGCGGGAAGAGCTTCAGCAACAAGTCCTCCCTCGCCCGGCACACGCGCATCCACGCCCGGGCGGCCGCCAGGGACAAGTGATGGGGTTTGGCGGCGGGGAGGAGGGTTGGCACAGCTTCGTCCCGGCGGAGGAGGTGGCGGTGGGTGACCACCGTGGGGAATGGGTGAGGTTGGGTGGGTGAGGTGGACGTGGTGGTTGCCCTGGGTGGTCAGTGCTGGTTTCCTTGCCGGCTGGCACCATGCGGCTGCTGTGGATGGACCGGGCAGCCCGGAGGAGACGGAACATGATGAGCTGATTGATGTCCTCCATGAACCTAGTGGCTCCACGAAAAGGCTCCCTGGTCCCAGAGACGTGACACAGATGGGGGGATGATGATCTGATGGTTGATGTTCTCCATGAGCCCAGTGGCTCCACGACAAGGCTTCTTGGTCCCAGAGCTGTGGCATGGATGGGGGGATGATGATCTGATGGTTGATGTTCTCCATGAGCCCAGTGGCTCCATGACAAGGCTCCTCGGTCCCACAGGTGTGACACGGATGGGGGGATGATGAGCTGGTGGTTGATGTCCTCCATGAGCCCAGTGGCTCCAAGGACGAAGCTCCTTGGTCCCAGAGATGTGACATGGATGGGGGGGCGACGATGAGGTTATGACTGATGTCCTGTAAGCCTGGTGGCTCCAGAATGCACCTCCTCGTTCCGGAGGAGATGCAACATGGCCGGAGATGAAGACCAGCTGACGATTGATGTCCCCACATGCCTGGTGGCTCCAGGATGCAGCTCCTGGTCACAGAGGAGATGCAATATGGATGGTGGGGCGATGATCTGGTGATCAACGTCCTCCATGAGCCCGGTGGCTCCAGAATGTGTCTCCCTCGTCCTGGAGGAGATGCAGCATGGCTGGGGATGAAGATCAGCTGATGATCGATGTCCCCTCTGAGCCTGGTGGCTCCAGGACAGCGTCCCAAAGGCAATGTAATGTGGATAAAGATGAGCTGACCATGTCCTCCATGAGCCTGGTGGCTTCAGGACATGTCTCCCTGGTCCTGGAGGAGATGCAACGTGGCTGGGGGTGAAGACAAGCTGATGACTGATGTCCCCCATGGGCCTGGTGGCTCCAGGACAGTGTCCTAAAGGCCATGTAACACAGATGGGCATGAAGATCAGCTGATGATTGATGTCCTCCATGAACCCGGTGGCTCCAGAATGTGTCTCCCTGGTCCTGGAGGAGATGCAACATGGCTGGGGATGAAGATCAGCTGATGATCAATGTCCCCTCTGAGCCTGGTGGCTCCAGGACAGCGTCCCAAAGGCAATGTAATGCGGATGAAGATCAGCTGACAATGTCCCCCATGAGCCTGGTGGCTCCCTGGTCCCTCACCCATAGAATCACAAAATCACAGAATGGTAGGGGTTGGAAGGGACCTCTGTGGGTCATCTAGTCCAACCCTCCTGCCAAAGCAGGGTCACCTACAGCAGGCTGCACAGGACCTTGTCCAGGTGGGGCTTGAATATCTCCAGAGAAGGAGACTCCACAGCTTCCCTGGGCAGCCTGTTCCAGGGC